AAAATAGGAAATGCCTATTTGTACTTCTCCATTCATACCCCTACTGACCTATTAGCTACCTTGAACAGAGACATTGTTCATATAGTTTTACTATTTTAAGTCAATAACAAAATAGGTGTTCAATAAATATTTGCTGAATAAGTAAAACATCCTGAATAATTTTTAACTGGATAATTCTCCTCCAAAGCCATAAATAAAACAAAGAATTCCTGTTTTAATTCCTGTTTAAGAAAAATATTTCTTCCACAAAATCAACAGCATCTGAAATTCCACTTTCTTTAGATAGCATGTCTTGGTAGAAGTAGTTATCAGACCTATATTTGAAAATCATTTCTGCCACCAAATAGCTGTATGATACCCAACAGGTTCAACTTCTCTAAGACTCAGTTTCCTCTTCTATAAAATGGGGATAACACCACCTACTTACTAGGAATGTTATGAGGATTAGAAATACACAGGAAGTCTTCACCACACAGGGTTCCAATAGTCACAAATTTCAGTTACCCCAGTTTAGTTAAATATTACCAATCCCCCAACAACACAACTCAAATTTCAACTACCACAGTATGTTAAATGTGAGTAATCAGATAAAGTACAAACTTTGTGACTAGATCTTCAGTCCACAAATCACTGCAGAAACAGTAGAAGCACATCATTATCAGGGACTAACCAAGTCACTTCTTTCAAAGTCTGCAGGTAGATTTTACAATATTAAGTGCAAAAGGAACAATGATTAGACAGTTGTCGGACTTCTCATCAGAAATAATAAAAGCCAGGAGACAATGGAATAATATCTTCAAAGCACTGAGAGAACAGGAACTCTCTGCCTAATTTCTAACTATGGATAAAACATAAGGCAAAATCTGCTGATGATCAGAGACCACACATTTGTTATTCAGTTCGTGTACACACAGCAAAGTGTGTGGCTATGTTGCATCCTTGTCTCCTGGTGATGAATATATGTGACATTTTACAAAAATGGATAATCTAAAGAGGGGACTGGACATCAATGATGGAAGATCATTGCATAACAAAGAAACAAAAAGTGGTAATGGAAGTGAAATTCCAATCAAACATACACAGCTTTAGAAGAACCAGCTAACCATGACAATGCTGACTGCTGCCATTTGAGAGACTCTAGATATTCAGGCAGAAGAAGTTAATGAAGGCAAACTTATCAGCACAAATGAAGAGTAGTTGTGAGGAAGGATAAAGATGGATCAGAAGTGATGCATTCAAAAAACTTTGCATTAAAGGAACTCTAGGAGATATTTCACTATATTGAAAGTGCAAAAGAAGAAAATGTTGGAAGCTGATCCAAACTTAGAAAGAAGTATGACAATTCACCAAGGCACAGAAAAATTACTCATTCCACATCATAAGTTACAAGAAGAAAGCAAGCATAAAAAGAAAAGAAATCCTGCCATTTACAACAACATGGATGCGTCTACAGGGTATTATGATCAGTGAAATAAGTCAGGTAGAGAAAGACAGAAACCAAATGATTTCACTCATTTGTGGAGTATTAAAACAAAGCAAAACAGAAGGAACAAAAAAAAAGCAGTAGATTCATAACTACTAGTACTAGAAGGGACTAGTAGTTACCAAAGGGGACGGGTTGGGGAGGGTGAGTAGGGAAGCAGAAGGGGATTAAGAGGCACTATAATTCACAATCACAATATAGGTAGGTCACTAGGATGGTAATACAGCATGGAGAATACAATTAATGTCTCTATAACATCTTACTACATTGACAGACAGTGACCACAACAGAGGGGGTGAGATCTTGATAACATGGGTGAATGCTGAACCAATGTGTTGTGTATGTGAAACTATCATAAGATTGTATATAAATGATACACTCATTAAAAAAAGGCAAGCACTGTTCAAACTATTTTTGCTAAATTCTTTTATTTAAAAAGTTCTCAATGTTTTTAATGTTTTAAATTACACTGTACTAATACATATTAGTTTTACTAATTCTTTCGTTTCTCTACATATTTATAATGTACGGTAAGAGGGTTTACAATGTTTATCAAAAATCTTTAAAGCTTATAGAATAATTATAACGTTTTCAATTGACTATTAAGATCACTTTGCCAGCTTTTAACTTGGTCGTTTGTATTCTTCCACACTACCAGGCAAAGTGAGGACTGTCTATACCTACCCCTTGCAGAACATCAAGGTGCTTATTATTTCACAACCAAAGAGAAACCCTCTCTCTACCTTTTCTCCTGTCCTTACAGTCTGCTTAAACAAAAAAAGGAATTTGAACTGGTTTTCTGTGCTGTTAAGACAGATTTTCAGGTTTTCCAGTGACTGAGAACCATTGCCATATCTGAACATGCAATTCCCCAAACTCACCTTTCTATTACCCAAATTATACATACCCTAATGCTGAAAGACAGGCTTCTTGAATTCAATTTGTCCTTTGTGATAGTATACTATTTCATGCTTGTCATCATCCCTTACATGCAAGAGCAAAACAATGTGTGATAGAAGTAATATGGGATAGTGGATTTAGAGTCAGACCTCAACTTGAACACTACTTCTACACTACTTTTCACCACCTTAGATTACTTCTTAGAGCTTAAATTTCCTAGTCTGTGAAATGAAGATAATATTACCTTCTTTTTGGAATTATGGTAATGATAGAAAGAGATAGTATATATGAAGTGCTTAGCAAGGTGTGGTACATAGTAAGCCTTTAGATATAGCTATTATCATCATCATTATTACTATCCTTAATATTTACCATTAATGTAAATATTATAATGATAAGGCTGTATTTGTTTTAAACACATCATCAATAAGCATTTTTTTCAAAGATCAAACTCTTTTACTCCCAAGATATGACAGACAGCCAGTACTGCTGAGTAAGAAAGTTTAACCTCAAATTCCTCCAGATCATTTTCTCCCAAGGTACACATGCAAAGGGCTGTGACATTCACTCATCCTCTGCAACCCCTAGTTCCCATGTCAAAACCCTCCCTGCAGTCTGCTCTGATTTCCTCTTCTGAGGACATTAAAAACTAAAGCCATTTCCCATTTTTCAGAGCTATCTGGCAGGACAGTAGTATCTTGCTCTCTCATAATTCACATGACTTAACTGTCAGTTTTCTCTTTTGACTCTAACCCTTGGTTCTAAACTCAGAATCGTTATTATCTATATCTACCTAAAAAAGCTGCAAAGGAAACAGGCCAGCTAAAAGCAACCCCTTTTCTCTACTAAACAATTAATTGCCTGTTAAATATTAATGTGAGTTAGTTGAGCAATGTCTGTTAAAACACTCCGTGACAGAAAGCTGACTACCTCTCAAGTCAACCCATCCATGGTTATATCTTCAATTAAAAATTTTCCTTATGTTGAAGAAAAATCTCCACCTTAAAATCAGTTTCCACCCATAAGCTCTAATTCCACATTCTAGGAAATACAGGAATTTTAACTGCTCCATATGACAGCCCACCTGATATATGAAGACCCTTGAGTTTCTCTTTTCCATGTTACATGTTTCCAGTTCAGAAAGCATGGTTTTAAGTCCCTTCCCTCATGGACCTTCTCTAGACCAGGTATGAGCTTGCCAATGTGATCTAACAACAAATTAGCAAAGCACTTCCCTGGCCAACATGTGGGCTGCCAAACTACAAACGATCCTTTTACCATACTCTTCCCATTATTATGTAAAAATGATTAATTTAAACCAGTAGTTCAGGAAAAATAACTCAGTCTAAATAGTTTAAAGGGAATGGTACTAAAGTCTTGAAAACCATAAAACAAGTTTTGTGTTTTTTTTTACTTAACCATTACTTCAAGTAGAATAAAGTAGGACCAACTGGAATGAATCTCTTGCTACTTTCCTACAAAGCCAAATACATGCCTGGGAGAAGGACCCAATGATGGCAAGGTTAGCTGAAAAGAGTTTTGCTACATGTTCTGAGAAAGTCGATCCAATTAAAAGAAGGCAGTAAGAGTTAGCCAAGAAATATTCTCTGTACCTTGCCAGAGGAAGGTACCCAAGAACGATGAAACACTGTGCTCTCAAAACTTGACCAAAGTGAACTCCAGAAAAAGAAGTGGCAGATTTTTCCTGAGCTCTCCTAGCTTGGCAGAAATAATCATCTGGGGAAATAGACAAAGACACACACACAGAGTCTGTGAGGGCAAGGGGTGCCTGTCAAGGGCAGCAGTTGGAGGAGGATTATCCCCAAAGTTCTCAGAAGGTGCAACCAGTGAAAGCTGTGTCCTCAAGGGAACTCTAGTCCCTAGGTAGGCAGAAAGGAGGCAGGGAAGAGTCGGGACGTGGTGCCTTGTGCTCTTGGGAGCCTGGCACGATCAGGAGGGTGCAGATTAGGCGCTCTGCCTTCTACGTCTGTTGCAAGGCATAGTTGAGTAACAGTGCTCGGAGAGTAGATAATCTCTGGCGCTTGAAGATATCCCGAGTGGGAGTGGGGCCGACGAGGGTGGACTTAGGGATCTGAGACTGGGAAACCGTTCGCTGCAAGTGACCGAGAGCTCTAATATGAACAGAGAAAGAGGAAGGGAAGGAATTTACTGTTTTCACGGACTGGGGGGAACATGAAGCGAGGCACTGTTGCCTTCTTTGCACCCTTGGGGCGCAGGTGGCTGCATCAACAGCAGGAGCAGGTGTCACGGGCCCTCGTTCCGGTGCGCAGAGCCGTCCACTCTCCCTCCATCTCCCGTCCGCAGCCCTGCCCCTCGGACTTCCCCGCAGGACCGGCAGGGGCTCCCCACTCCTCTCCCATGCCTCAGCCTTAAACCCACGGCCCGCCCGGACGCCGGCACTCCTCACCCGACACGCCGGGTCCCCCTACCGGCCCCCTCATAAGCAGCACCCCCCACTCCTGCCCGCCGGCCGGGGCCCCGCCGCCCGCCTCCCGTGGCAGGCCTGCCGCCGCCCCGGGTCCGCCCGCCGCCTTCCTCACCCGGCGTCTCCCCCTCAGAACGGCGCCTCGGGCCGGGGGCCGGCGCCCGCACTCACAGAACTCGGCCATGTACCAGGTCACCGCGTAGTTCTCCTCGCACCAGTCGAGCGTGGAGGTCGTGAGGCCCCAGTAGCCCTCGCGGTCCGCAGCCGGAGCCATCGCGCGCCGCCGCCGCCCAGCGCTGCGCCTGCCGCGCTCGCCTCCGCGGGCTCCCGGGCCGGCTCGGGCCCCGCTCGCGCGCCCGCCCGCCTCCCGAGGGGCAGGGCCCCGCGCCGTCACGGCCGCCCCGGCGCGGAGACTCCGCCCCCCGGGGCCTCGAGGTCGCCGCGGGCAGACGGGCTCGCTCCCCAGGGCTGGGCGCCGGGCGGGCCCTGCCTCCGCCTCCCCCGGGAGGGGCGCGGCGGGGACCCGGGCGGCCCGCCCCGCCTCGGCACGCCTGTGGCCGCAGGGTCCGGGCCGCTGACATCCCGGAGGCGGCTGTCTGCCGGGATGTGTCTGAGTAGGCCTCAAAAGTGGAGCCTAGGAACAACACTCCCAGGAAATAAGCAGTGTTTTTTTTTTTCGAGAAAGGTAGAAGTCAGTGGCTCTGGGGAGCAAAGGGAAAGGACAACAACCTTCCACAGGAAGAAAAAGGGGGGCTCTGAGATCCTCAAAAAGAGTGCAGCCAGAGCCCTAGTTAGAGCGTGCCTGGTTCAGCGTGGGCTTCCAGCCCAGAGGCTTCTACCCTCTAACTCGGTAAATGTGCCCTACTCCGCAGGCAACCAACAGCCGCCCCTGCTTCAGCCTCAACACTCTTGATACTCCACAGAGCTTCCAGAAGGATCTTTTTAAAACGAATGCAGCCGACCCTGCCCTTCTGTTCAGCCACTCCAAAACTTTCCTAGTCAGAACTGGCTGGCTCCACTCCCATGTCCTTGCCTTGGCTCCTGCATTTCAGCTGGAACACTTCCCTCTCTTCTCCGTTTGGCCAACTCCCACCGGCCCTTTAAAATCCAGCTTCCTGCAGCCTTCTCGGACTCTCACCCGCAAGAGCTCCCTTGGCCATGGTTCACATCCTCTGTGAAACATCCCGAACAGAAAGCTTACTTTCCATTCTTTCTGGTCCTAACACACAGGACTCTGCTGTACCATGCAGTTCGAAAGGAAGAGTTTACTTAAGGATAACACAATTGCTATTTTCCAAAGAAGCAAGGCAGATAACGGTGTAATCAAAGGTAAAAGAAAACCAGAAGAGACGATGCACCTACAGCCTCTCTACATAGTGACCCTAGCAGATCATACAGAATACTTGCAGGGTACAGTGTGCGTTAACAAAAATAGTAATATCTGAAAATAGTAACATCTGAAATTTTCCTTCTGAATAACAGACACTGAGCTTCTACTGTGTATCCCACCCTTGGCTGGGTGTGGGCATACATGGAGATAGATAGGAAAGATAACAAGAATCCAAGAATCAGTCTCCAGATAGATAAATAAAAGCCACTAAGATATGGGAAAATCTTAGTGAGATAGCTATAATCAAAAAGGCAAACAAAATAAAAGCCACTAAGATATCTATTTCTAACCATCTTTAATCTCATCCTCTAAAATTTGTTTTGTGTATGTTTTTAACATATAATAATCCTAAGTATATACAATTCATCAGTTAATAAATACACATATTTTTGTATATTCAAACTGAATATGCAGAAATACATACTTAAAAGTAATTTGCTGATGAGATTGCAATGAAAACAGTGTAGAGACCACAACAGAATGTGATAATACTTTGGTAAGAGTGAACATAGCATGTTATGGGAGCCCCTATGTGGAAAGAACTGACCCAGCCAAGTGGCTCAAGGCAGGAGATAAGGCCTTGGCTAAATCAATACCCTGCACATTTCATCAAAGTTTCATCATATTTTCATCAATAGTGGGGGAAAAAAACATCTACCATGACCGGGAGAAAATTTAGGAGAGAAAAATTCTGCCCAAGAAAAAAGGTGCACTGTGGTGTTAGCACTCAGAAAAACACAATGTGGATTCACAGTTCCTTCAGCAATGTCCACCTTCCATTCTCTCTTTCCTAAAGAACTTTTCCCTCCTCAGTATAAAAGTCATGCATGGAAATGGAAGGGACACAGAGTAGCCAAAACTATCTTGAAAAAGAAGAACAAAGTTGGAGGACTCACACTTTACAATTTCAACACTTCCTATAAAGTTACACTAATCAGGATAGTATAATACTGGTATGAGGATGAACTTGTAGATCAATGGAGGGTCCGGAAGAGAATTGAGACTTCAGAAATAAACCCTTACATTTATGGTCATTTGATTTTCAGCAAGGGTGTCAAGACAATTCAATGAGGGAAGAATTGTTTTTTCAACAAATGATGCTGCCAGACAGCTGAATATCCACATGCAAAGGACTCCCTGCCACAATAAACCAAACTGATCTCAAAATGGATTGTAGACTTACACAAAAGAGCTAAAACTATAAAACTCCTAGAAGTTTACATAAAAGTAAATCTCTATAACCTTGGGTTAGGCAATGGTTTCTTATGTAAAATACCAAAAGCACTGGAGACAATAAAGATAGGTATATTGGACTTCATCAAAACTAAAATATTTTTTGTTGCAAATGATACCTTCAAGAAAATGAAAAGACAACCCAAAAATGGGAGAAAATACTTGCAAACCATATATCTGATAAGAGTCTTGTATTCAGAATATATAAAGAACTCTTAAAACTCTCTAAAAAAACACAAATAACACAATTTAAAAATGGTCAAAGCATCTGAATAGACATTTCTCCAAGGAAGATAGACAAACAGCCAGTCACATGAAAAGATGTTCATGTTTTCCATTAGAGAAATGCAAATCAAAACTACAATGAGATGCCACTTCACACACACTGAGATAGCTATAATCAAAAAGGCAAACAATAACGGGTGTTGACAAAGATTTGACAAAGATGTAGAGAAATTGGAACCATCAGATGTTGCTGGTATATAAAATGATGCAGCCACTTTGGGAAACAACTTGGCAGTTCTTCAAAATGCTAAGCAAGAGTTACCACATGACCTAACAATTATACTCTTGGGTATATACCAAAAGATTTGAAAACATATGTTAACAAAAAATTGTACAAGGATGTTCCAAGCAGCATTATTTACAATAGCCAAGGTGGAAACAGACCAAATTCCATCAACTAATGAATGAATTAATAAAATGTGGAATATCTATGCAGTAGAATATTATTTTGGCAATAAAGAAATGAAATAGTTATACATGATACAACATGGATGAACCTTGAAAACATTATGCTGCATCAAAGAAGTCAAGCACAAAAGGGTATACATATTCTATAATTCCATCTATATAAAACATCCAGATTAGGCAAATCTATAGAGATAGAAAGTTAATTAGTGGTTGGCTAATAGAGGGAGTGTGGGAATGCAGAGTAACTGCTAATGGGTACATGGTTTCTTTCGAGATGATGAAAGTGTTCTAAAGTTAGATTGTGGTAATGGTTGCACAACCCTGCTATATCTCAACCGCCCCCACACACACAAAACATTGAATTGTATACTTTCAATTGCACACTAAATATTCTAAATGGCTGAACTATATGGTATGTAAATTATATCTTAATAAAGCTGTCTTTTTTTAAAGTAATATATTCTTGATGTTGGAAAATTTAGAACATACCCAAAAAATAAATCAATTAAAAACAAAGGAAATCACTCATCATCCCATCAACTAGCAAAAATAACCATTGTCACCATTTAAGCATATTTTCTCTCAACATTTTATTTACAGAATTTTTTAATACAATAGAGTAAAATTGCCTCTATACTTCATATTATTTCATAAGCATCTCTTATGCCTTTAAAAACCCTTGTAAATACATGAATGGTTATATTCAATTTTATAGATACTACAATTTACTTATATATCCATGTTACTATTCCTGTACTACTAGGAATTTAGGTTATTTGCAGTGCCTATATTTATTTTCAACTAATAAATGAGAACCCAAATTTTGAGAACTTTCAACCAGATTTCTACTGAAAACCCTTTTTAATAATTCCCAACACAACAAAAGAAATTCAAGCTGTAATTCATTTTTTTCTACACGAGAGATGTTGCAGCATCTCATAACTGCACAAAATAACCAAAGGTATAGACCACAGATCAAATGATCTTCTGATCTACAAATTACCTCTTGGCTTCTCTTATAGCAAGGTGCATTCATGGCAACCTATCAACAATTCCTAACCCCTATCTAATGGGGAATATAAGGTTGTCCCCGAAGTGCAACAGGCACAACCTTGGCACACAACCCCATGCCTCTCTGGGAAGAGCCCTCTGACCCCGAAGCTGGGTTGTCTCTATGCTCCTGCAGCCCCTGGGATTCCCTCCACCATAGCTCTTCTGACATTTCATAATAGTCGGCTTAGGAAATGGTCCTCCAGAGCCTGTCTCACTCTGTCTCTAAATCTCTAGCCCCTCTCACTTGAACCTGACACAGAACTGGTGCTCAGGGAATATTTATAGAATAATAGCAACAATAATAATAGGTAATATTTATGGAACATTTACCATGACCAGTTATTGTTCTGAGTTCTTTATATTTGTTAACTCAGTTAAATCTTGCAACAAACCTCTAAGTAGAATACTGTTCTTCTTCCCATTTCATAGTTAGGGACATTAAAGTACAAAGAAGTTAAGTTACTTGTCTGAATAATATATACCTAGTTAGTAGCAGAGCCAGAATTTGAATTTAGGCAGTTTAGCTTCAGTGCACAGGTGCTTAGCAGATACATTAAGAAAAATTGCTAATGTAGATGAATGGATAAAGAAGATGTGGTATGTATATACAATGGAATATTATTTAGCCATTAAAAAGAAAGACCTCTTACCATTTGCAACAACATGGATGGATCTAGAGGGTATTATGCTCAGTGAAATAAGCCAGGCACAGAAAGACAAATACTGTATGATTTCACTTATTTGTGGAATCTAAAAACAAAACAAACCAAAATGAACAAAACAACAGTAGACACTGAGATGTGACTGGTGGTTACCATGGGGGGGTTGGGATGGGTGGTGAAATAAGTGAAGGGGATAAAGAAGCACAAAATCTCATAGTATAAAATAGTCATGGGGATGAAGATACAGCATAGAGAATATAGTCAGTAGTTCTATAACATCCTTCTATGTTGACAATAACTACACT